TTTGTCTCTCTCTCTCTCTCTCTCTCTCTCTCTCTCTCTCTCTCTCTCTCTCTCTCTCTCTCTCTCAAGAGGACAGGAACATTCGCCCCTGCCTCCTCCTCCTCCTCCTCCTCCTCCTCTTAAGCGACACCCGAAGAGAGACAGAGCTCTCCCTCACTAACACTAAAAAGCTTCACTCCTCCGCTGCTCTGCTCATCTCTTCGATTCTTCTCCAGTCGACACCTAAGTGGCTCTGAGAATCAGCAGGAGAGTCTCTCACACACTCTGCCTCTTTCACTCTCTACACTCTGCCTTCCTCTTGTCCCGACAAAACTGCTTGTTATTTTCTCCCCGATGTGTCAGTTTCACTGTTTTCGGTCCTCCCTCCCTCTCAAACAGGTTTTTTTTTTGTCCTCCAAGGTGGCTCGCTTCTTCATTGGAGTTGCATTCAGCTCCTTTTTCTGTCTCTCTCCTTCTCATTTTCCATCAAGTTGCTTACTGCAGAGAGGAGGAGGCTAATTTGCATGTGAATCAACAAGAGCATGGCCCACAGGTGACAGAAATAGAACAATGGCCGGCTCATGCTATAAATAGGTCAGGCGCGGTGCGGGGATTGGAGCAGCATTGATGCGTTTAAAAATACCACACCAAACACAGCTGTGGCCCTCATCTACAGCCAGAAGGCATGTCTCTGTGTCTATCTCTCTTTCGGTTTAGTATGCTGTCTATCTTTATCTCTTTTTTCATTTTCTTTCTCACTCTATATCTCTTCCATTATCATGCCTCTGGCCTCCATAAAAAGACACACTACCAGTTTTTCTGGAGATATAAATATTACCTCCCCACATTTCGCTTGACACGTTGCTGCTCTGAGCCGTGCTGCTGACACTCTCACAGGGTTTATGTGCTCAGCATGCAGAGTAAAATGCAACATTTCTAAGGTTGTCAAAAATGTACATGCATTTCAAATCTTGAATTCAAAACTGAATGGCAATATGAACCATGTGTGGTGTATTATATTGATTAAAATAAGAATGCAGGTTGGATAAGACAAAGCAAAGGCACAATATTACAACATAACAAAACATAATATACACTTGAATTAAAAAAAATGTATTACAAAAAAAAATTTTCCTAAAATATAATTGCAAGGGCTTGTTTTCATACATAAAATCTGTGATAACTTATTTGTACAGTTTAAGAAAAATGTGAAATATTTGATTTTAACATTATTAAATTAACTTAAATTAAATAATCAGTTTTTATAATGTTTTTCTGCTAAAGTAATTTGTTTTTTTAAAATATATCATCTTCTATATATTCTTTCATTTCTTTATTGTTAACATGATAAGTTTGACAGCAACGAAAATATATTTTGAAAAAATAAATTTCCATTTTCACAAAATTTTGAACACCACTGATAGAGGAGAACCTACTATGAAGCCATAGTTAGAGGAAAAATTGAAATTGAAAAAAAAATTATATTTCAATGCTTTTCTGTTCTCTAGCAAAATGTTTGCGATCCCCCAAGAATCTTTGCATTCACTTGCACACTTTTGAATGAGAATGTGAAAGTTTTGTAAAACAAACTTCCATCTCATATATTTTCCATCACCACAGCCCCACAGAACCTTTTGACTTCCACAAAGAACTTTTGTTTTTAACAGTGTACTGTATGACATATTTCACTGCTGCGTACTACTGATATTAACTATATAGCTCCGTGTTATCATCCGGGCAGAACTATTGTTCCAGCCACCAAAGACAGATTCACAAATAACCTGCCTTATTTATCTCAACTGCTCTGTGTACCCATAAATACACATGAACTAGATGAAATGACTAGCAACATGGGCACTATCTTCTCTAATACATTAGAAGCTGTTGCCCCCATCAAATTGAAAAAGGTTAGAAAAAAACGTACTGCGCTATGGTACAACTGTAATACCCTGTGATGAGAGGGGCGGGGTCGAGAGCTGTGGGAATGGAGTAAGGCCGGTGGAGTAAGTGATAATCCACGACACCTGCGCCACTCACCGGTCTCGAGTCCCACGGAGGAGCTCCGGAAGGATAAAAGGAGGAGTGACGACAGTGTTGGAAGAGAGAGGACCAGGCCTGGACTTTATTTTGTGATTTGTGTGCGGCAGTCGTCCGCGAGGGGCTGCAACTTTACTTTCATTTTATTTAATTGTTTAAATGGTCGAGTTTAAATGGTTCCTGCCTCCTTCTCGTGACTACGAACTGTGTTACATTGGTGCCAAAACCTGGGAGGAAGGAGGGACACGCTGCCAGAGATCCCTCGCCGCTGTGGTGAGTCCGCGGTGCCATCGAGCATGGCGGAGCAGTCTGCCGCCATGGAGGCTTGAGGCGGTGGGCTGGAGTGAGGGGGGGGGCAGACAAACTCGCTGCCGACCACCTGGGATGTGGAGGGACGGCTGCCATCCGTGAGGGAGCGGAGGAGTCGCCGCCATT